AGGGTTCAGGTAAGCGCAAATGCACTGAAGCCCGAAAAACCAGAAGAGGAATGCGGCAACGCAGCAGCCGATGCAAGACATTAGGGTTCGAACCCAGCAATCGTGAGAGCGGCAGAATGGACGTCCCAGAAGGAACTAGAACAGCCGCTGAAGCCAGATCCGACCCGACAGGTAAACCAGTACGGCGAAGTTCAGACTTCCGCACAGCTGCTCAAACAACCAATGAGTGACCCAGGTGCCCCCCCAAAAACAGCTGAAGGCGGGACCGCAACTGTAGCTCGCCCAGAAAATGGGGTTTCATTACATTCAATGCTGTTTTTTTGTCTTAATGATGAAACATACAGTTAAATAAACTAATATATAGCTATTGTTGAAAAAACATAAAATGCTGTAATAATATAGTTGACAAATTGACTTACTGTACTTTTTTACAAAGATGAACATTAAGAAGCTGTGAAGATTATGTCATACTCTTCTGCACTTATTTTGTATTGCTCAGAATATTACAATACTGTTCATGACCGTATATACTATACAAGGATTCGACCATTCACTTGATAAAACTAGACAGTATGAACACTTGGCCATCACCTCACATTACACCAGTGAGGTGATTACAGTACTGCTAATTAACCTATGAATAATACATTGCACTATAATAAAAAATGTTGACTAACTGCTGTAACATACTTATACAATTGAAACTTATTTCTGTATTTACATTTGAATTAAAGTTAAATTGAAGAAAACAATTAAAATATAGTAATGTCCTTCAAAATTGCAGCTGGCCTTGCAAGTCCACAGTAAACAATGTGGACAAACGGCCCGACACGGCACCTTCACATTCACGAGAAAAAAACCTAGTGCTATATATGTACTATAAAAGGTATTTAATAAGAAAATATATTATTTTTTTCTTAATAACAATTGTTAACTAATATTTTCTTAATAATAATTTGTAATTTGTTTCATTAAACTGTATCATTTTAAATATATTTAAGATTTAATTATTAACTTGATGGTTGAGGTCGGTGGCTGCTTATCATGTGAGGACGCCACGTTGTCAAAAACCTAATGCAATACTGGCCTACGGTTTGATCAACCACCAGACTGGTATATGAGGCTTCAGATGTTGGTCTCCAAACTGACCGTTAGAACCGCAGAATGCTAAATTAAAGGTCCTTAAATGGATGCTGTAGTAAGATACTGTAATGAGCGAGTGGGCCAGTGGCAAGTGAGTTTTTGTGTAATTATCAAAGTGTAGTTCCTTCTTGCCTGTATTCTGATGGCTTTGGCATGCTCCACCTTCTCACTTGTGCCAACTACCACTCTCTCTTGGCAAAAAGATAACTTTCCAATATTTTTCCAGTACCTTTGTTTGCTTAGCTTGTATCTATGACCTCTTGTTCTTGAAGTTACAGGTTTCAAGAATTCCTTTGTCAATTCATTTTACTATTTGTACATAGTGATCATATTCCTTCTATTTTTAGTTTTGGCAAATTTAAGACTGTCAGCCTTTTCTTAGTATGATGTTTTTGCACCTTTGCCAGAGTATTAATGTGCTTCTTGAGGTATGGACACCATACAACCACTGTATAATCCCATTTTGGTCTCACACAAGTCGTGAACAGTTTCTTTTGGACGTATTTAAAAGTGATTCTGAAGTTGGAAAGCATAGCATAGGCGCCTTAGACAATGTCCTTTATGGCGTCATCTGGTGAAAGTTGCTGTCCACAACCATCCCCAGATCTCTTTCTTTGTCAGAGTTCTTTCAAGCCTTTCACATAATTTGCAGGTTGTGTAGCCTAATTTCTCCTATGCGACATTCTATAACATGGCATTTATTCATGATGAATTCCATCTGCCACGTGTTGCTCCATACACTTATTTTGTCCAGGTCGTCTTGAAGGGCATGACAATCATCTGAGTCTCTATCTTCCCTAGTAGCTTAGCATCATCAGCACACATGTTCATATTTTTTTTTTTTTTTTTTTTTTTTTTTTTTTTGAGATATATACAAGAGTTGCTACATTCTTGTACAGCCACTAGTATGCGTAGCGTTTCGGGCAAGTCCTTAATCCTATGGTCCCTGGAATACGATCCCCTGCCGCGAAGAATCGTTTTTTCATCCAAGTACACATTTTACTGTTGCGTTAAACAGAGGCTACAGTTAAGGAATTGCGCCCAGTAAATCCTCCCCGGCCAGGATACGAACCCATGACATAGCGCTCGCGGAACGCCAGGCGAGTGTCTTACCACTACACCACGGAGACTGCTAATATAATACTGTATCCCCTTTAGTAGGTCGTTTATATAAACAATGGGATTACTGGTGCTAGAACTGAGCCTTGTAATACTCTATTAGAAACATTTCTCCAGTCTGATACAAAGCCTCTGATGACCCTCCTCATTTTTCTGCCAGAAATTTTTCATCCATGTCAGCAGTCTACCTGTCACCCATCCAGCATGATTCAGTTTCCAGAACAACCTCTTATGTGAGACTCTGACAAAAGCCTTTTTTTAGATCCAGATAAATGCAGTCAACCCAACTATCTCTTTCCTGTAAGATCTCTATGACTCTACCACTGAAACGACGTAGATTTGTTACACAGGATCTTTCAGTTCGAAATCTATACTGTCTCTCTGATATTTTGTCATTTGCTTTCAAGTATTGTAGCTATTTGATTTTGATTTTTTGTGTCTAGTTTTTTCACTATCACACTTGTCAACAATACAGGTCAATAATTAACCACTCAGGAGTGCTGCATTATAATATAACACACCCGTATTGCACCAGAACAAATTATTTACAAAATTTTGTTTTCACTTCTTATATTGTTAAAATGATCATGGGAAAATGATCAATGATCATTCTGACAATGGGAAACTAAAATAAAAATTTGTATGTGATATACTTTAGCTATGATGGAGCTAAGAAGTTGAGCAATTTATGGGTTTTGAGGGAGTAGGTACCCAGACACGCTCACCCCGTGGGGCGGCAGTTGACGTGAATATAATTCTGCATAATTATTTCATTGTCTCTCATTCGTTTGTTTTCTCTTTTTTTTTGGCTGTAATATTATTAAAAAGCGTGCAATTTGTTAATTTATATAGTTAAATGTGTGGAACATCGCTATGCTTAGAAATGTGGGGTTCATATATGATAACAAGTATATTATATAATATTCTAAGATCAATTAGTGTTCTTGCTGTTATTACGCTATATACACATGCTGTATGTCACTATCAAGATTTATATGCACCATAACAAACTAATAAGCAGTTCTGGTGGGTTATGGTGATGACATCAAAACACAGCACGGAGCCACAAGCAGACGACGCCAGCAGTCACATGATGCAAGACAATGCCTCCTATATCCTATACATCCCACTATGACTAGCTATAAAACTGCTGTTATTATCACATTCCTATCACAAAATCATGAAAATAAATCCATTTCCACATGGTTATATTGTGAAGGAACATGAGGTCGTCTCATGGTGCATAGAGGCAGGAAACAATGGCTGGGTGCTGTTTCTCTCTACCTCAGGCTGTGACTACCATAACCAGCATTGTGTTCACTGATATCTGAACGTTGTGCATAGTCTTCATCACAGTCAGTATCATCTATGATGCTATCAATGCAAAATAATTACAATTACCTATTTTATTCATCTTTATTAAGTGATGCTGAGGCCCCTAGTTTTACAGTGGTGCTGTGTGCAGCTCCTGCATGTGCCAGCCTTGGTCACTTTCTCAGTACTCAGGCTCTCACAGCCAGTACGGATGCTGACAGATTTTTTAAGATGGCGTCTGTTTACTGGTGTCCAGAGGAACAGCCCCGTATACCCATGGGAATTCTGAATCGTTCCCTACACCTAAAAGTGCCATATGATGAGCTGATTACCCCGATCAGGCACCTTAAGGCACTCTGCGCAGTGCAGTGGTTAAGTGGGTCTTCTCTGTTACCGGTTTTGAAGATTGGTACCATTTTTGCCTTTTTCCATATAAATACGAGGATTTATGTGCACAAAGAAGCCTGAAAGATCAACTGAAGTGGAATGCTCAACTCAGGTGTGCATTCATTCAGAACCCAAGGTGAAGCACCATCTGGGCCAACTCCTTTGTTTCTACCTAACTCATTGAGCAGTTTTTCTACTTCATCTCCAGACACTTCTATGTACTTTGTTGTTCCCTGAATCTGCATTGTCTGGTCCTCTGAATACCTCCTTTTGAATGAATACACTTTATAACTGTTCATTTAGTGTTTCAAACATTTCCTTTGCATTCTTTGTGGAACTGTTCCTTATTTTCAACCTCTAGATTTCACCCTTTATATTTGTCCACTATCCCGTTTTTCAAAGTTTCTTCCTGCCTCTTTCCTCACTGCCATGTAGTTGTTTCTTGTTTCTTTGTATTACTGATAGCTTTGAGGGTTAGGTCTCTTCCTATATCGATTTAATTCTTTTTTGTCTTTTGTTCTCTAAAATTATACCAAATCCGAGTTACAAAACTAGAAAGGAGGATTGGTTTAACGGAAATTGTGAGAGAGTCAGAGAACAAAAGTAATAAGTACTTACTTATTATTTTTGTTCTCTGACTCTCACAATTTCTGTTGAACGAATTCTCCTTTCTAGTTTTGTAACTCTGATTTGGTATAATTTTTTGGTACTTTCATCATATATATCTCAAAATTTAGCTTACTCATTTACTTCCTTGCCTAATTTCCCAGTGTTTGCTCTTAAAATCAAGTTTCCACTATTTCACTTTCTCCACTATCAGATAGATTATAATGCATTGTATATTTGACTTCCAATAGGACATTGTGGCTCTTACCCAAGGAATTAACCACTGCACTGCGCCTTTAGGCACTCGGAGAGTTGTGCTTTTTGTTTTTTAATTTGGCTATATTTTAATGTTTTTTAATGTTTTCATTACTATTTGTGTTTTGAAATGGAAATAGTTGACTTTGGAAACATTTTGACATTAAATTTACCTGAACATTTGTAAAAATAACAAAAATATGTCCTTGACAATTGCACCAAGACGTTTTTGCCGAAAATAGGTGAGCAGTGCAAGGGTTAAGGTACTCTTCTTTTTTTGTGAATATCAAATCCAGCACTGATGGAGCATCACCTACTCTAATTCTCACGGCCTTCTTAATGTGTTGATAGATGAAAGTTTCAAGGATGAGGTTTATGAATCAGCCAAACCAAATGTCCTCTGTTCTTGCTTTGTTGGCCTCCCAATCTATTAATTTCAAATATAAGTCACCAAGTACAAACAATCATGATTTATTATTATGTGCTCTTGCTATAATCTCTCTCATGATCACTATAAGGCCCTCTCTTTTGTCATCCAACTCTCTTTATTTGTCCTTGTGTTGCATGCCGGTGGACTGTAGGCTTTAATGATTATCAACTGATCATCCCGATTACAGATCTCCAGGGCCATTATGACGACTTCTTGTGGGTTGTCTGGAATTAACGCCCTTGCCTTCAGTTGGTCCTTTACCAGGACTGGAATGCCTTCATCTTTTCTAATTATTCTGTTATGTCTTCAAATTGAGTAGCCCCTCGGGAATACTACCCGATTTAGAATGTTATCTTGGAGATTCATCTTTACTAGTGTATTTAACACCAATACTTTTGGCCTCACCAATCTATGTTACAGTATATAAAATTTTTTGGAATAAGTTCTCTCTTCCTTTGCCCTTACTTATAACAATTTTATTGGCTTTTTGTTATTTACTATTTCACAGGTATTCTGATCCCTATTACCGTGTAGAAAAAAAATGTTTGTTTTCTTCGTTTTTACCTTAATTGAAATGTTTTGCTTCATTAAGGTTTCGCTTCAGCTTCTCTGTCTTCCTTTGAGAGATCTAGACTTAAAGACCATAGTTTCTCATCCTCATCATTTTGCAATTGTGCATGCGTAATTACCCGAGTGTAATTACAGTACCCAAGTGTAGTTACGGATTGAGAGCTACGTTTGTAGTGTCAAGTCTTCCCAGCACTCTTTGTCACATGACGTTTGAAACTACTGGCGGTTTTGGCCTCGGTGACAGTTTTGCTTAACTTGTTCCAGTTGTCTAACACTCTGCAAAAAGAGAACTTTCCAATATTTTTCTGACATCTTTGTTTCCATAGCTTCAATCTATGACCTCTTGTTCTTGAAGTTGCAGGATGCAAGACTACCTCTTTGTCAATTTTGACAATTCCTGTTACTATTTTGTGGGGAGTGATCATATCACCTCTTTTTCTTCTATCTTCTAGCTTTGGAATATTTAACACCTCTAGTCTTCTTTCCTCATAACTCTTGTTTTTCAGTTCTGAGAATCAGAACTGATTCGAAGTCTGCTCAGACAGCACGCTGGACACGTGATCCTGTGGTCCCGAGTTCGATCCCGGGCGCCGGCGAGAAATGATGGGCAGAGTTTTATTCACCCTGATGCCCCTTACCTAGCAGTAAATAGGTACCTGGGAGTTAGTGAGCTGTCACGGGCTGCTTCCTGAGGGTGGAGGCCTGGTCGAGGACCGGGCCGCGGGGACACTAAAAAGCCCCGAAATCATCTCAAGATAACCTCAAGAACCACTTTGTAGCATGTCATTGCACATTTTCCAGTTTATTGATATGCTTCTTGAGATATGGGCACTAAACAACTGCTGCATATTCCAATTTTAGTCTCACAGAAATCATGTGCATATGTGCATGCATGCAAACATGCACATATTATTTGTACCTAAGAATATTCATTTTATGTGTGTGTGTATTACTGCTACTACTGCTGCTGCTGCTGCTGTTGTTGTTGCTGCTGTTGCTGCTGTTGTTGTTGCTGCTGTTGTTGTTGCTGTTGTTGCTGATGCTGCTGCTGCTGTTGTGTGCGTTTGGCAAGAGCAGCTAGTTTTTGTTGAAGTTGTAACTGTGTAAAACTACTCAATGGCCCTGTCTTTTGTAGAGCCAACTGGAGCTGAAAAGTTTTAAGTGATGTTATGGAAATATAACATAAGAAACTGTAACTTCAGTATGAACACATCACAGTATGAATGACGTATGAACACACAAATTTCAAAGTAACTAACAAAATGAGTAGATCTTTTAATAATATATAACATCAATACTGTACTAATACAATTTCACTGGTGTTCAGTATACAATAAGTAAGAACTGTATGTAATGAAATGCCATTTTCTGTTGGGCCCTTGGTAGTTACTGTAGCTTGTGCTGTGGTGCAGTCAGGCTTTGAGACACGCATTGTGCTTCCCGAGACACATATTCACCTACACGAAGCCGCGACCAGAATTTGGCTCTTAAGTGAACCACGCTTCGGGTTCATAAAAAAACAGCGTTTAATGTAATGAAATGCTTTTTCTGGGCGAGACCCAGAGGCTCCCTGGAGCTTATCCAGGCTGATATGCTAATGTCAGACTTTGGCATCAGTCATGTGTACGGAGTTCTGTGGGCCTACTGGGGACCACAAGCCAGAACCTGGCTTGTGGTCCCCAAGGGACAGGGAACAGAACCTCGGAAGGGGCCGACGCCCAACAACTCGTATGGAGAGGGGGGAAAGAAAAACTCCACTCCTAGTAACCACAAGCCCCACTCAGAGGGGAAAACCTTGGAGGGGTCCAACGGGGCCTTAGTCAGCCCCTTTCCAGCACCAGGAACCCACACGGCAGGCCCCGTGGCCGAGCCATCCCTCCTAAGCCCCAGCCTCACAAAAAAAAGCTGGGGTAGCCGGAAAAGTACTAAAGAAGGGAGCCCACTGGCAGACTCATACAACACGGCTGGAGGAACAGGCTCGAATGCCTCTGTCGCTACCCCGGAAGGGGAATTCCCCGAGACCGCCCAAGTCTTAAGACCATCAAAGCCCCGCCATGACCCCACAGACGGTAAGGATCCGGATGCAGGGAGGAAGGGGAGGACCAGACTATACCACAACAGGGGAAAGACAAGGGAGCACGGACGGAAACAAACTTTAACCAACACCCCCAAGCCCCATCACACCAACCAAAACGGGACAGCCTCGGGGCTTCCGGGGAGCAAACAACCTAGCGCGTTGCCACACTAAACTAAACTAACTAAACGTTCAACGCCCGTGCTACCTGTCCCCGCATAGTCAACATAAGACTGGGTAACCGACTCACAAGCAAGCAACAAAACTCGTAGGACTCCGGGCCGAAGGTACCACCGACCCCACAGGCAGCAGACGGAGGCAAAGACAGTTAGTATCACCCTGAAACAAGGGGACAGAGCAAGCCTCGAACTCACACAAAGCAAGAGGGGATTCCGGGGTTACATCCATCAGACCCATGGGGATTCCCAGGGTCTTGAGGTGGAATTCACGCTCAAGGAAATCCAGGCAGGGTACTGTCAAGTACCCAAGTCAGGGTACTGCCCAAGTCTACCAAACAACTTTCTAACAACTGAACCCCCGGGATGTGTACACTCGTGGGGACCAAGCAGGGGGAACCACTGGAAGAAGGAGGAGGAGTATTCAGTATGTAGTGGGCAAGAACCAAGGCAGATCCCCCCACCAGGCAGACAAACAAAAAGAAAAAGAAAACCCCACAAGAGGACAGTGTCGGAAAATCCGACACCATTTAATAATCATACAGATAATAGCTGTATTACCAACAAGTTACCCATAGAAAACGTAACTTGTAGTGGAATTACCGTCTATAGAAAACGGGATATCATCACCACATACTATTATATTCTCCACCTATTATGGTGGGAATTATTCTTAAATACATTAGTCTTTGGACTTTACCATCATAAAAACATCTTATATAAATTAACTTTAGAGTAAACATTAAAGTAGAGTAAATGTGACCCTTCTATCACTTTCTGAAATCTGGACAATGTAAGCCAGGCGTCAGGGAGGAAGGAGGGCAGCCATTGTTGTTGATACTAGACCAGAGGCTCACACAGGAGCAAATTCGGCTCCTGTTAATTTTACTTGGACGAAGTGTTATGGAAACTAAAAGTGTACCATTATCAACACGCTGTCTACAAATTCAAGTTAAGTGTCTATCCGAAACCCGTTTATCATTCATTTATGGCCATTAATGTCAGGATATAGGGTGACCCGGTTAGATCACGAAATCGCCTCAAACTGAAGGTAATTAAGCCAGGTCTTTATTGTTCCATGTACAGTTTTATCTGATATAGCTTGTCATATATAGAATCTGGCTTTACAGCTAGCGCCCTTTTGACAGGTCAAGACGAGGAAGCAAGGCTTTGTGCATCAGTTACTGGGTGATGGAAGCTACCTCAAAGAGGATAATTTGGTGTCTACACCCTAGTTATACCTGGTGGACTAACCTGCTGTACTATAAGATAAGGAACCTTTTCAATGTATGTAGTCTATTACTGTAGTTTGATTGGCTGCATATATAAATTTAATAAATCCCCCTAATGTGTAGAGGATCGATTTGTGAGATTAAGAGATTATTGCAGAAATACAGTCCACTTATCATTATACAAATTGCTATCGAAGTATATAAATTAATGTAAATATAAATTCTATATATATTCATATAAATTAAATAAATATAAATATCACAGGTCGGTTCCCACATTATTTGGACCTTCGGAACCGGAATATTCGGTCCTTTGAACCCACATTTGGTCATCTTAGTACCGGATGAACCAGTGGATTCATTAAATAAACTAGTGTAGTGTGATTTAAACAAAGCCAGTCAAGACGGCGGCGTTGACTCGTGCGAGTTCACGAGCCCCGCTCAGTTCAGTTAAGCCTTAGTCAGCGGTTTCATGCACACCCACAGATTTGGTGGCGTGTTATTCTGTGAAATGACAGCGCTAATATAGAAGCCAGCCAAATTAGTGACTGTGTCGCGAGATTGTTCACGGATTTCGTGGTGTTACATTTCGCGAGAGATTATCTACGAATTTTGTGGAGTTTATTTCGCGAGGTCACTAATAATATTTAATACTTCTTGATAATATTAGAAGTTTCATAGAGGCTAATTAAGAGGCTATTATCAATAATTGTGTATATTATTTCTCCAAAATAGAGAATTATTTAATATATATTGCACTAGTGATCACAGTATAATATTTACTAATTGCCAACCCACAACAGGGTAGGATAAAACCATTGACTAGTTGAACTATTATCGTTCATCCTAGTCTCATTATTACCATAGTCAGTTGTACTATATTGATCAACCTAACACCATTAATGAATGGTCCAGACCCTATTTTGGGTGTAATTTTTATCAACTCGAGTTGAGTTGTATATATAATAATTTACTTATGATCATTACACCTTTGAGTGATTAATTAGTGTCAATTCCATCCTAGGGTGATATAGAAGAGCTAACCTAAAGGTACTTCCAGTGACACTGGTTTATCACTCAAATCATTAGTGTGTATGAGTGTATATATATAATGTGTATTAATTTTAAGTGCTAACCTCTAGTAGAGGTAGGATTATTGCCTAGCGAGTGCAGAATTTACCCTAGGCTACCATTAGAGCTTGTTCAGTATTATGAGCAGCCCAAGTACAAGCCCCACAAGGCTTCACCAACTAGCCAGTATGGATAATGCAGGGAGAATGAAAAGAACCCTTGCAGGTCTTAAAGGCCACTTAACAAGACAGATCAAGAAATGTGAAGATTTGTCACAACAATCTCAAGTTGATTATGCTGACCTGGAAAGCTATTATCAAGCAGCTGCAGGTAAATTTGAGCAAATCAAATGTCAAATAGCGACATATGTGGCTGAACTTGCCAACACCAATTTATCAGAAACAGAAATAGACGACATTATGGTTGATCTTGCGAATTATGAAGATCACACTCAGGCCACGTTACAGCCTTATGTCAAATTAATTGCCCAGAACAAGGCAACAGCAACAACAACAACAGTTGCATCTAATACGAGTCAAGCAGAAGCTCGACTCCCTCCAATTAATTTACCCACTTTCTCAGGAAAAGATGAGGAAGATTGGGACGAATTTTGGAACAAATTCGTTGACCTTGTAGACTCAAAACAATCTTTACCAAAGAGTAGTAAATTCTCTTATTTGCAAGGCCAATTATCAGGTGAGGCTAAAACAGTAGTATCCCATCTGAGATTAACTAATGACGGCTATGATCTGGCAGTAAAACTCCTGAAGGATAATTATGCTGATCCAGAAGTAAGAACATCACATTTAGTTCATGAGCTGTTGCATTTACCCCCACCGGAGGCTTCAGCTGATTCACTCCAAGTCTTCAAGCTGGAGGTAGAATCATTGATCAATGCCCTCAGCCTGACAGCAGATACAAACGGGGCTGAGTGGGTCTTGAAAATAATTGTCCAGGAGAAAATACCTAGGGACATATTGAGACAAATGAGTGCTCATTACAATAAAAGCATCTTATCCATGAATGAAATATCTGAAGGTTTAAAGTCAGTAGTTCATCAATTACGAACACATGACAAATTAAAACCACCAAGTAAACCCTCAGAAACCAATAATAGTAAACCACAGAGTACCAAAGGTACTCCAAATCAATCTAGACAATATAATTCAACACCAAAGTGGAACAGTAACAGTGTGGGCGTATATGCAGTGGGACCCTCCAAGCCTATAGTTACTGTGTCATCCAAGAACGTGACACCAAAGGGTACTGGAAGCTATGGAACATGTTTGTTCTGCAATGAGAAACATTCAATGTACCACTGCCCTAATTTTCCTGATAGTGACGCCCATGTTGAGCGACTCAAAGATTTGCAACATTGCACGAGGTGCCTCAGGAAACATAACATCAAGGACTGTGATACCCAATTACACACCTGTAATAGGTGTAACAAAGGTCAGCACCATGCAGCATTGTGCAGAGACACCAAAACAACGTCTCCAAACCCCAAGGTGGAAGATAGCATTCCCACCACAGTACAGTACTGCAAGGTGCAACAAACAAACAGTGTCCAATCGGCAAAGTCTAAAGGTAATAC